CTACTACTACTACTACTACTACTACTACTACTACTACTACTACTACTACTACTACTACTACTACTACTACCTACTACTACTACTCCTACTACCTACTACTACTACTACTACTACTACCTACTACTACCTACTACTACTACCTACTACTACTACTACCTACTACTACTACCTACTACTACTACCTACTACTACTACCCACTACTACTACCCACTACTACTACCTACTACTACTACTACTACCTACTACTACTACTACCACCTACTACTACTACCTACTACTACTACCTACTACTACTACCTACTACTACTACCTACTACTACTTCTACTACTACTACTACTCCTACTCCTACTACTACTACTACTACTACTACTCCTGCTGCTGCTGCGACTACCACTACCACTACCACTACCACTACCACTACCACTACCACTACCACTACGACTACTACTACTACTACTACTACGACTACGACCACTACGACTACGACCACTACGACCACTACGACCACTACGACCACGACGACGACGACGACGACGACTACTACTACTACTACTGGAGGGGATCCACAAGTTGACTACAAAAGAATCCAACTCCTACCACTTGGGATTGTCTTGGAACTACTTGTGGGTTTAAGAAAGTGCTTGAGGCCGCCGCAGCCCAATGTCCAAAACCAACAAAGTGGAAAAACCAGCTCAGGAAAATGACCCTCTCTAGTGAAAGGCGTCTATGGTCCAAGTTCCATTGCATCATCAATACCAAAGAGGTAGAGAGAGGGATCCAACCTCAAGCGAGCAAGCGTTTCTTCGTTAAATAATGAAACGGCTCGCTCCAAATATTGAACGGTACATAGAGAAACCTCACAGCTCACCGTGACGAGGCCGAGAACTCGTCGCCTTCACTTCACGAGCGCTCACCGCATCTCACCCGAGCATCTCAGCATGCCCCCGCCCCTCCCCACCTCACCGATGTAGGACCTTGCCACCCAACCTGTGCCGGAAGCGAGGTCGACCGGCCGACCGCGACCGCGACCGACCACCGCACTAGTGCGCCTCCAATGGAATGTCCCAAAAAGGCCACGGGCTCCTGGCAGAGAACAAGCTTCCTTGGCAGAGAACCACCGCTGTAATCCCCAAAAAGGAACGACCTTCCTTTGGCGCAGGAAGACTTGAGGATGTGCACCTCGACCCGAGTTCCAAGCTCGGAGCGGGTTCGATCCAACCCGTCGGTTGCTGGAACTCCAAACCATTTGGAAGCGTGGATTCAGCCTCCGTCAGAATGCCCCCCCTTTCAAACGAAAAACGACCTCGAAGGCAACCAGCTGCCGAAGGCACTCCCCATTCGTTGCGTCGCTGGGTTTGGTCCTCTGGGCCGTAGTCTTGCTCCACCTCTCGCATGGCCTGGAACCAAGGGCCATTTCGATGTCTCCATGCATGGTCTCCAGCACTCTTCAGAGTGCGAAACATCCTACGCACCACGGATGCATCGCCCGATGATGTCTCAGTCTCGGTGGAATCTCCACTCAAAAAAGGAAGTGCCCCACCACTCTGTCTCACACCGTGACCCTGAAGGAGGGCCTGGTCTAGGGCTTCATAAAAGAAGCCTAAGGTCTTCCTGGGCCGCAGCTCTGCTGTGAAGAACTCCTGGAGAGTGAGTAGCAAGTGCTACCGCTACCAGGATGAGGATGTCCGAACTGATTCTCCGATATCCAGTGATATCCTGGTGCTTCATCGTTTCAGGACGAAGTTAGATGATGCGTCCATGAGTTCTCAGTCTGGGTCCAAAGCAGTCCAAGTCGAGCTCCCTTGCATCGAACCCAGCTCTCGTTCGGGACTCCTTCGTGAAGGTGCTCGGAACAATTCGCAGCCAGTCCAACCTGGACAAGGGCGCTGCATAGAGTGCGAAGCCTTGGCTGCGTCCAAAAGCACAAGAGATATGTTGTCACGATAAGCTATTCACCTGCTGGTACTTGTAGAAGCTCCAAGATGAAAGAATTGTAAGGAGTGACATGAGTACAGTATAGGGTTTGAGAGACCGTGTGGCGTTGGAAAGACCCTTTCTACTCCAAGTTCTTCCTCCTTCACCCAGAACTGGTGAGCTGCACAGGACTGTCACACTGACATGCACAAAATACCGCCGAGGCCCCGTGTACCCCTCCGTTTTTGCAGCGCCAGAAGCCTCGCTCCTCCAAGTTCACCTTCAGCTCTTCGTAGTCCTCCGCCGCACGCGTTTTGTGGAAGCAAGAAAGCGGCGCAAGGGAGGCACGAGAGCTCGGATTGAAGCAACCTAAAGAAACACAGAAACTGCTAGAGGTGCTTAGGAAAAGAAGTCTGCAGGATGTTAGATACAGGTACTGAGGATCACCAGCCACAAGTCAAGTCTCAGTTGCCTGTAATACGTTCTTGGGGGATGGATGCACTTCACTTGGGATGTGACTGCCGAGTATTTTTTGGGAGTGGAGGCCATCCACATCTTCCAGGAATGGAAGAATGACTTATATACAGTCAGAGTGATACAAGAGTCGCATCATCCCAAGTCCATGCCAGCCGCAATGATCGAAAGCCAGGTGGGCGCGTCCAACCTGGAAAGCAACCAACAAACCATTCAACTGAGCACAAGCCACCCAACTAAAGAACAAACCAACCAGTGAATCAAAAACAAACAACTACACTCCAACTGACTCATGTGGCACCACCACTCACCACCCAAAAAGGATTTATCTGTTCAGATCCTCTTTGCTCCTGCCCATCCCGCCAGGACCACCGGAAATGGTCCCCGCCGGTCGCACGTCGCGCTCCGCACTCCTCCCGCGTCCCGAACTGCGCGGGGCAAAGCACCACGGGAGTGAGTTTCCGGAGCACCAGGTCCTGCGGTGTTTTCACCGGTCCGGGCGGTGTGGATCACATCTGGGGTCTGGGGCGTGAGGATTCTGTGAGATTCTCTCCTTCATTTCTGTGGCACGAAACCTTAAACAGACCACGGAAAAAGCTGTTTCCCAATTAGATGCCTTGTGTATTGACCATTAAACATTAAAGATTCGTGCCTTTCCCTGAAAACCACTGGTGCACAGTGACGGGCCGTGACGGGTCATCTTGGCTCGAAACGCCGCTTCTGCGCCAGGAGACTGACCGGTTGACCTACCTTCCTCAGGTCGTAAACCTACATGGTGGACTGGTCGACCTCCAGGGTTTCATCCCCAATTCACACGGGGCAATCCGGCAAACTACACCTAAATCTTCTCTCGGATTTCTGACTGCCCCTCAGTCGCTCGCTCGCGCGCGGACGCGCCTGTGCCGCGTGCCGGGGCGCGCGACCGCGACGCGGCAGCGCACGCTCCTGCCGGGGGCTCGGGAGCTCCAACCCCGAGACTGACAGACCCTCAATCAGCTCGGAGACGGAGTGGTGCCGAGCCAAGCCACGTTGCAACTCAACCGCAAGTAGCAACTGAATTGATTGGGACCTTTTCCAACAAAGGGTGAGCGCTCCTTTGAGGCATCAGCCCTGTCCTGTCCCCCGCCCGATATCCAAGCGGCATCGACCAGAAGACATCATAAAGGGAGACAACCAGAACATCAAGTTGAAAACAAACACAACATCAAAACACTTTAGTAACGCCAACTTGAACTGATTTTGATAGCAAGCTGTGAATGAGAGGACGTGAAGCCACATGAACACAAACGCGCATGTGTAAGCCACGCACGGTGATGCACGGACGAAGCCGTGCCATTGCCCATCCGCAGAAACACAAAAGCAATGGAGCACCAGCTTGTTTTATTCAAGAGCATCAAGTGATATGCACGTTTGCTTAAAAAGGGCATGGGTAGTTTCTGATATGCACCCCGCAGCAGAAAAGCTCGGTGCATTTTCACATTACACGGAGCTCTAGAAAAGCTCGGGGCTGCACAAGCGGAATTCAAAGGTGTCAAGCTCTCGGGAGCCACTCGCCTCCCCTTTTTGGTCCTTCTTCCGATGCAACGCAGCATCCCATTTTCTGCCAAATCCACCAAACATCATGGTGAGAAACCAGCCGTCGACACCGACCCGCTCCCTTTCTGATTGCTCATTTCGCTGAGTTCAGGCACAAAGGATTCACGTGAAAACCCCTCCCCTCCTGACCAACGAAGCCAATGCTTCGCAGTGCGAAGAGCGTCAACAGAAGTCCAAGCCCTGCCAAAACAGAAAAACGCTCGGCTTGGGGGAAAAAGTGGGAGCAACGTCTCGTCGATCGGCTCAAAGACCCCCTCTCCAGAAGTCCAGTGGAGACGGTGTCGCCCCACCCTTTCTTTGTTCGGAGACGAAAGACCACCCATCGGCGTTCACCGCACACCGGTACCGTTTTCTCGGCATCGCACCGACCTCTCGGTGCAGATCTCGCCATCGTCGCTGCGGGAAACAGGGGCGTTCTGTCTGCGTGTCTGTCACGTGCGTGGCGGTTCTTCTCTGGAGTCGAAGACGTCGCGTGTTTCAGAGCCTGTTAGGGAGTCATGGGTCAAAAACCGTTGCGAACAGTGGCAAGGCATTGAGGTTTCAAGATTTGTCCAATCGAACTTCATGACGCTTTGGATCGTCGGGTCATGTGAAAGGCTCCATGTGTCCAAATCGCAAGCTGACCTCAACTAAACCGAAAGGCTGGACCTAGGCACTGCCGAAGCACCAAAACCCCTCCTACCAACGACTATATCAGTGGTTGTCTTGGGGAGTTGGAAAAACAAACACTTAGACGACCTGAATTGAAGCTGAAACGGCTCCGGTTTTTTGGACGCCCGATTGAATTCCAAGAAATCCAAACAGTGCCCTTGTCAGTGACGCGGTCTTTCACTCTCTGTTACTCCTCAGGCCTAGATCCAGATCTGGCTCCACTTCCCCGAGAACTAACGAAGATAGCTAACCTAGCTGGATCTAGCTCCCAGCTAGACTTGCAATCAACTCTCTGATACCACGAACATGACCCCGCCAAGTTACCTGGAAGGAACATGAAATAACCAGGTAGGCTTGAGAAATCTCACCATCTGCTTGCCTACCTTCAAGCTCAAGGCTAAACTTCCCGATTGCATTCGCCAAGGCCCTAAAGAAAGGGAGCACAGTTTCAACCAGAAGGGCGTTTCAACCTGAAGGGCCTTGAATATTTTGCTTCACATCAGCTGTGCTCCAGGCAGAAAATGAGAAGGGGCCAACAGACACAGTCAAAGACGTACTGTGGACCTTGGTGGAGTGCAGATCACACTGCAGGTCTTGCAGGTGGCGAGTGGGTCGGGTTGGATTGTCCCCGGTGTCCATCGTGGAAAACCTCTTCCAGCATTGAAACAATATCTATATTCTCTGCATGTTGCTGACTTACCTCGCTTACTTCAAGGTTGATCAAACCCATGCTTTCTGTGTTCATCAGCACAACTTCCTCGCGTCATCGCTCGGTACCCGCATCGCACCAAGCCACGCCAGGCATCGAGGCTTCGGGACTTGCGCATCAGCGCCTCGCCCTCGAGTCAGAGGGTCGAAGTTAGTCTTTCCCGCCGAGGGGAGTGGACTCGCAACGGGAGTGGAAACCACACAGCGAGTTTCGGCCTGGACTTGCTGTTGTGGTCATAGCATATGAGTCATTGGTGGTAGGTTAGTTTCCACCAATTCCATCTGTTTACAAGTGTCATTTCCGGGAGAAGGAAGAACAGCCAAGCCAGACTGTGTGCGATGATGTGCAGTCTTGGCGTTGTGCAGCTTCTGTTCAACCCAGGCAAAGAATCAACATGACACCAAAACTGCATTCTTCAACCCAAGAAATACCCATAAATCTTCTGCGAATCAAGCAATGGGCCCTGACAACCTCACCCTCGACAGAGGAAGAAGAAGACCTTGACACCCTACCACATGGCCCATGAATCCCGTACGCAGGTATAGGGAACCCATGCCCAAGTATATAATTGAAACAACAGCTGACTTCTCAATGGGGAAAACTTGTTCCCCAAAAGAGATCATTTCTATGCATTGCAGTCCATGGAGCGCCATCCGGTAGGTGTCCCAAGCCTCCCATCTGGCACGTTCCCAGTCGCCGGCCTCAGGAAGCTCAACACACCAGGAAAATATCTACAAATGTCTTCTGCAAATGCAAAAATGTCTTCTGCAAGTGTCTTCAACTGCTACTGGTAGGGACCAAAGGAGCTGAATACTGCTAAAGCCCCACAGAGATATCTTCCAGCTAAGTTCTTTGGCGGCCTTCCTTTCTTCTCCAAAGCTCCTTCCTTTCGCCGGCTTCGGCCATGGTCGCTGTCGCTGACCCCCTTGGCCCACGTGAAGCATCCGCACTTTGGCGAAGAGGATGTTCCTCCCAGAAAAATGTCTTGAGGAAGGGAAACATCCAAGACATTTTAGGCTCACGTCCACGTCCATTTTAGGCACAGCGATGGTGCTTTGTATGTCGCTGTATTCTGAAAGAATCCAACCAGCAATCCACCTTCAACTGGTGCATCACCAGGAGGTGTACAGCAACAAACACCAGGAGGTTTCCAGCACGAGTTTGTGTGCTTAGCACGTGTTCTCCAGGGTCAGAAGATTGATCGTGCAGCCTGGCTGGAGCAGGGTCAAGAAGCAGGGAAGGAATCGATCTGATGGGATGATCGGAGCGAAGTTGAACAAAAGCTTTCAACGCTGGCCAGAGTAAATGAAGCAAGGCCTCGGGGCATGTCTGGCACGTCTGGTGCCCACCAGCTGTGCTCAGTGTCCTTTGAACAGTAGAAGTATTTTGCTTTGTGCTCATGTCCTCATACTCCCCAGGGGCCCCAGGGGCTCTTTTCTTAAAGCCACCGGTATGTGGGTGTTTTTCTTGCGGTGGAATCTTCGGAATAATAGTAGCAAGAAGCAACTAGCAACAAGGGCATTACTATTAGTAGCAAGGACGCTACTAGTGGCTCCTGGCATTACTACTAGGAACAAAAAGCTACGAGGTGAAGGCCATCGCTACTAGTAACAAGGGCGTCGCTACTAGTAACAAGGCCATTACTAGTAGTAGCAAGAAGCTACTAGTAACAAGAAAATGACTCCCAGAAAACGCCTCGCCTCGCTGTGGGCCACGCACTTCAGAGGCCTCGCCTGTCGCCACGCGCGCCACGACCGTGCCTCGCACTTGGTCTGGTGCCTTTTGGGCGTCCTGCGCCAAGCAGTACTCAAGCTCACTGTACCTGGCCGAAAGCAGTTTGAGCACCGTCTTTTTTCGGAAAGTCCGAGGCGGAATTGTCCGAGGCTCCAAACATGCAGGGCGTGCGAACAACACATGTGCTTTGCGGGGGCCCATGTTGGTGAAACGAGAAACTCTCACCACACGAACAGTGGCAAGAAGCTGTTCCTGTGGACTATGGGATTGGACTGAACATTCACAACTCACGGTCGTCCCACCATGTCCCGACACCATGACCTCTGATGGGTAGCTTGAGGGGCCATGTCCCAACTGGGGCACCACCTTCCAGATATTTCCTGATAGAAAAGGTCTCCAACCTAATAGCGATGGCCTCCAACCTAGGTGGCCCACCTTCCAGAGTTTCTCTTGGAAATTCATCCAAGCAGCTTGTTGATGGCGTCATCGTCCATGCCAGCATTGATGCATTCATTGTCAGGGCCGATGACACACTTCAGCCTGCACTCCTTCTCTGCGTTCGCACTGAAGCTCCTTGTTCCGTGCTTTGTGTGTGTGGCCTATGTTTGTTGAGTTATTCATTACCAGAATCCAACCATCGACCATGGAAGAATACATTTTTGGATCAACGAAGAGACTCTTCCAAAGAGACATGTTCTACAAGTTCTATGTCCTCATGCCTCATGCTTTCGGAAATTCACGTTTCTGGAATTGTTCAAGTTCAAAACATAATTTTTGTGAGCAATCGCTGCCATGGTTTGCCAAGGCGCCGATCGGCCTGCAGGTGGATCTTCCCACCGTTGGCCTGAGGATTTGGGACCACGCTGGAGTCAAACCAGAAGTTGGGCACCTTCACCTGGATCCAACAGGGACGGAGCGAGCGAGCGAGCGGACAGAGAGAGAGAGAGAGAGAGACACAGAGACAGAGACAGAGACAGAGACAGACACATGGAAACCGTTTGTTGGAAAGCCCTTTTGGACTGGGAGATGTTGATCATTTCATGAGCTGAGAAACCAAGGACACATGGCTTGGAATTCTGAGGATCGCAACTGACTGATGCTCCAAAATCAACATGCACAAATGTTCAGGAATAAAGACTAGACACGGTGGTGCATGCAAAAGCACAGTTCAATCTTTTAGCGATTCTGGCTCTGGTAGAGATAAAATGAACAAAGAGGCCATCTTGATAAGCTTTCAATCTGAGGAGAGATGAAGTGAACTCAACCTCAAAAACTGTTTCAAATTAGCCCATGGCCTATCTGGCCTTTATGGCCTATGATGAACTGTTGAGGCTTTGGCCACTAAGCTTCTCTTGGGTGTGTCATGAGACTGGTGGGTTCATCATGCAAAAACAATTGATCAACTGTATGTACTTTGTTGCAAGCGATGTAGCCCAAATCCTTGACGATTTTTTTGGAGAAAGGACCTGTGCGAGTCCAGAACTAAAATGGTACGGTTCCTCCACAGGTATCACCATCTGGACTCCATCGAGCTGGATTTGCTAAGCTTTGAAAGCATCCACGCACGCGCGAGCTGATCTTGGTCTCACCCCACCCGTGGGGAACATCGACAAAGCGGCTCGAACTCCAGACTGAGACCCGGCGCTGTCAGTCAGCTGATCACCCACACTCATCACCTAGGCGTGAGACCAGGTGAAACATCATGATGAATGCCATGCATCCGATGAATGTTGACGTGGGAGTGTTCCTGCGAGCTAAAGAAGGCGTGCAATCTGTGCGAAGGACGAGGAACAAAATATGAAACACTCACAGCATAACACCGCTGATCCTGTTGGACGCTTGTTCAACCCTCGATCGATATGGTTGACTCCCCTGGTAGCACCACAGCCTTTTCTACCGGCCCTATCTGATAAAGGTGAGAGGCCTAGAAACAGGAAATGCCTCTTCACGAGGTTCTCTTCACGAGCCCTACTTATGACCAAAAATTCAAGGCTTCGCTCCACCACAGCTTTTGGCCAAAATGGCAAAGGCGTGAAGACGCTGGCTTCACGAACGGAAAATAGAAACCGAGAGGTTGAACAGTTATGCAGAGAGTGACCCACATATGGTTGACTCTGGTAGCAGCACAGCTTTTTCTACCGAATATGGCCACAGGCATGGGGTCGTAGCCCCCGGTTGACTTACTGTGCTTGAAAAAAGGTGAGAGAGGGGTGAACACCCAAAGGTCTCAAAGCAGGGAACGCCTCTTCACGAGGTTCTCTTCACAGCGCGCGTGGAGATTCGCTGACCTGGTCAGGTCCTTCGACTCTGGCACCATGGTCTCGGCGCCATTTCGCATTCCTGATCAAAGTAGGGCCCGAAACCATGAAGAAGGCACTGAGGCAGTGTTTGCAGCAATGTCGAGACGATCGCTCTCAGGCCAAAAGCGCATCTCCAAGCGATTAGCATCTGCTCCGAAGGCGTCTGGCGAACTGGTAGCTGTGAACAAGCGCCACCACCATGCCTCCCTCTGAGCAAGCATAGAGGCGTCCTCCCACTTCCCATGAAACAGTATCAGCCCACGTGGGGCTGCCTTGCGTCATGGGAGGCCAGCGAAAAGGCTGAAATGCCCAGTGGCTCAACACAGATCCAGTTGCAGCATCCCAGCGAGCGCAGGGTGTGCTGGCGTAGCACGTGGCTGAGCCACAAATGACTACCTTGACACTGCCGAGCGTGCGGAGGAGGAAGAGGCTAAAGTGATAACCTGTAGAAGGTGACTTCACCAACATCCGATCGGACTTGACATTGAGGTACATCAGGGCATTTGTGAGCACTTCGTCCAGGGGCCAGTTCTGGAAGGAACTCTGGATCCTCATGTCCTGTTGGGTAGGATCAGGATGGAGCGCTTGCGTTTGCCCGAACCAGTCTGCATAAGTGCTCTGGCAATGCAGTGTTGAGCGGGTTGTGCCTCAGATCTGCAGGCGTCATGTTGCCCCAGCGAGGCTCCGTGACCGTGTCTTGCTGCTTGCTCTTGCTGTCGTCTCAGCTTCCTTGAGGAAGCTCTGAGCAGCTTGGAGAAGAGGAGCTGCCGATTGGCTTGACGATGGACCAGCAGGACGAGCTGGTGGTGGAACCACTCACGGCGGGGCATCATCCTGAGCTGATGAGCTTGCTTCAACTGAGGGATGCCCTTCTTCTTGCAGGGTCCAGTGATGAGGCAAGCCATGGATCTTGAGCATCATCGTCCACCTGCGTCCACGAACTGTTGGATGAGGTCTCATCCATTCGCCCAGAGGCATTGAACACTTCCCTCCTCAAGGGAGCCGGTGAGGTGGCTTAGCCTTTGGTTGCCCAAAACTGTCTCACCACCATTCCAAGCCATTGCCCAAGCCCTACCTGAAAAGCTTATTTGACCTGGCCACAGTTTTACGCCAAAATAGCAAAGGCGTGAAGACTCTGGTTTCACGAACTGAAGACAAAAAACCGAGAGGTTGAACAGTTATGTAGAGAGTGACCCACATGTCTCTACCAACCAGCCCACAACACATGACCGATGGATCAAGGACCGAATCCCGTTGGTGCCCTCGATCTTCCTAGTGCCTCTGTTTTTAGGCATTTCATGCAAACGATTGTTTGCATGTAAAAAAAGGATGCATTGCAATGGTTTCCAATTCGAAGTCATGGTTTTGAAACAGCAACTGTTCCCGACCGAACGGCGACTTTTCCTGACCCAACGGCGGCTTTGGCCGACCGCTAATTGTGTAACCTCTGCAAAAACAGTACAGCGGCACTTTTGAAATGAAACGGTGTTTTCAGGAGAAAAAACAAAGCAGCAACCGTGGAAGGTCCAGGTAGTTGATCGCTGTTAAGGTAAGAACGTTCACCTGGTTTCCACATGTCATGTGTGTATAATCTGTGACACCGTTTTGTTTGTCTGCACCATGACCCAGTTCACAGCTAGCTTGGTGGTTCAAACACCCCAGTGCCACCCCGAACGACAAGCAGGCTGACACACTAAAGTGACCCCAAATCGATACGTTGAATAACTTTATCCCTATACAGTAAATGTACTAGAAACTCTTGCCAACCGCATGAGTGACTGGGTCGATTGACGAAAAACTCCCATTCGTCCAAAGACCCAGTAGATGTTGCGCTGCGCATGAAGCCAGTTCCTCAGGACCGACTTGTACGCCACAGAGCAGCCTTGCGATTTGCAGCCTCCAATGCCACCTGTTCGGCACGTGTCAATCGACCCGGCCGAGCCAGTGACAGGTTGCCCTCCGCTGTGTTGCGGCATAGGGAGCCACACCAACCGACTAGTGATGGCCTCCAACTTAGTAGCCATGGCCTCCAGCCTACTAGCAATGGCCCCCGAACCTACTAGCGATGGCCTCCAAGCTACTAGCGATGGCCTCCAACCTACCAGCGATGGCCTCCAAATACTCCTTGGGCGCCTTCCCCTTTCTTTCACTGAACACCCCTTCGCCAGGCATCGACCGCCTTTCATGGTCGAACGGGTCGCCCCGTCTGTCCGAAGGGGTCGCCTTTCCAGCAGCCTGCCACTTCGGTATCATCTCCAGTCTCAAGCGATGGGATGATCTCATACAATCTCAAAATCGAAAGAACCAAAGTAAGGTGGATTCTTGAGAAATAACCCCCCCATGGGAAGGTGACGGTGTATTAATCAAGAGAATCTACATTAGACTGGCTGGAAGACCTTCCCATTTGTTCAGTTCCTGCGGCTCCTGCCTGTGATAAAGACATGTTTTCGCATCCAGTAATCGTCCACTGGGAAGTTCTCTTTGACCCAAAGCTGAGTTGCCTTGGCCTTCAAGGTGGTGCAATAACGAGCCGTGATGAAGAAGCACTCGAACCTACTCAGGGTCACTCTGAGCACTTGGTTCACATGTCAGGTGTGGGGGTGGTAGAGACTTCTTCAGTCTGTTATTCAAAAGAAACGGACATCATCTCTTCTCACTGCTTTCTACCTCGGAAGTCATCAGAAACAACAGTCTGCAACTCCACATATCTCCTTCCCACTTGCAACCTTGCTCAGCCACAAATCCTTATGTTCAATAAAATTTATCGAAGCCCAATGATAATCAGTTGGCCAATACTCCCCATTCCTTCCAGGGCACGGTGCACTCTCCGTCCGCACGCCCCCAAAGTGGCACCAGCGCTTGGCAAAGTCCACCGCGCGCTTCATGGGAGGTGCCTTGCCCAAGAGGTCGGTGTCGTTGAAACCTGCGAGGTGACGAGAGGTCAGGTCTGAACCTCGCCCTGCCGTTCCCCAAGAGACGTGGTGTTCTTTCTCCTGCATCTACACGGTTCAGCTGCTCAGTCTGTTTGATGGTTGGGACATCAGTTTCTCCCAAAGAAGGAGCATGGGCGAGCCAAATGTTTTAATCGCCTCTGTGGGCTTAAATCATCCAACTCTTATTTGTAAGGTTGGTACCAGTACCTGCAGACCCAGGTGAGGGAGGGGAATATATATATATATAGACCAACAAGGGTTTGGGGTTTTAGGGTTTTTAGGAGGGTTTAGGATGTCTCTGCACTAAAGTTGGGTTTGTGCTGTTGTTCAAATGAATTTGTCATACCCTTATAACTTGTAGCTGTCTATCCACAAATCCGCCATACGAAGCCAAAGTCTCTATGTGCCTAAGCGCAACCTTCACCTCCGTTGAATGGGTCATGTCACCGACACCATTTGACCTCCATCATCACATCACCGCCCTCCGACACGGATGAAACTGCGCTATTTGCACGTACGTCCGGAATTCAGCTTCCGCTCGAAGCCTCTGGGGGCAGGCAACTATGGACCGGATCGTTCTGGGACTGCATGTAGACAAAGGATTCCACCCTCTTGTGCTTAACGGATACCCATTGCACTCAACCACATGAAATCCCTCGCCATCACCTTCGAAAGAAACCACGAAAGAAACCGACGCTTTCGTTGCGGGCTCGGCGCTCGCGTGCCATCAACCCCCCGTCCGCCTGTGTAAGCCAGAGTGTTGTCAATATCAAACATGATGGCAGGCTCTTGACCTTGAAACTCCAATGACTTCACAGTCTCCAGGGTTGCATCTGCAGCATCAAAGGACTTGAAATCAGGTCGGAGGCATAGCGGCTTCCTGGAAAACCGGGATGCCGGGGGGCGGTTCAACGGAATCGGTGTCTTCATGGGGGTTCTTCATCGCTCCAGACTGGCAGTTCAACTTCTTGAGACCAAATGCGATGCGAAGTCGTGGAGTCCTAAAAGAATCAAAAGAGGACAGCAGTCCAGACTGAGCTCTTTTGAGGTGCCTCACTCCTGGGTGTCTTTGCAGAAGCCGATTGAGATCCAAGATTCCAAGATGGAAGCAAACAGAGTACATCCACATGTAGTCGACAACCCACTCCAAGTCCAGCTCGCTATTTCAAAGACAAGTCTGGGATGAGTCATTTGCTGCCTCTCCGGTCTCCCAGTCCTGGAGTGTACACGACATAGCTATAGTTGCTAAACTCAATCTCCGGCGCAGACTCAGGGTTGGTGCCCTGTGTCGGAGTGATGGCAGCCACTTGGTTTCGGCAGTGCTGGACGTTGCCTGCTCGAAAGCGGCGAACATCAGCGGCTAACTGACGCGGCGATGTCACCCAAATCGATGGAGGCAAGCCTGAAAAGTATCCATCCCTCCAAAGTTTGAAAAGGAAAAGGAGTCATGCTACCTTTCATCGAGTTGAAATTCTAGATCCATATGGGCCGTTGGGCCCTCAGGAGTCACAGGTTCTTATACTGCCTCGTGAGCCCAGGAATGGCTGCCTGGCATGAAGGTCTTCTCAACCGGCAGGTCTTCGATCAAGGTCGGCTGGCTGCTGAGCTCACTATACCTGAAGTGCAACATCCGAGACTCGATAGAGATTCGAAAGTAGCTCCGGAACCCGGAACCCAGTCCAGAATTTGCTCCAGAACTGGTTCCGAAACCTGCGTGGCTTTGCTTTTTCACGGCCATTTATGCTACTCTTCCAGACGTGAGATCGTTCAAGGAGGCGGATCTTGGATCTAAACATCCCCTTTCATGGGGAGGAACCTCAGACGCTTTGTCTCGGAAATGTAAAAAAAAACACACACCAAGGTTTTCCGTCACGGAATCACGGCCAAGCAGCGCTTAAGGTGGCGAGACACAAGGTCGATAGGTGGCGACGCAAACGAGATTGGTTCCAACTCAGGGGAAAGCGGGTCCCTCGTTCCAGACACAAAGGGAAAGTGTGAATGTCTTCCATGTCCGTTTACACCTTGAAGTCTGTCTCCGGCGTCTTGGCCCTTGTAAATTCTGAATAACCAGGTTGGAGGCCATCGCTAGTAGCTTGCAGGCCATAGCTAGTAGGTT